CTTCATATGTAATTTAAAAGCAAGCTTTTCTTTGTAAAAACTTCAATTGAATTTCAATAAAGTTAAAAGCATAGCCTCACCGCTAATATTTAAAAAAAAAAAAAACATTCAAATTTTATGATAATCAATTTAGAAGTATTTTAGTTCATATAAAAATTTATTATATTTTATCAAGGGTCTACAGCAATACAATATAAAATTTTATTGAAAGGTAATTTTATTTTTTATAACTAGTTATTTTATATATAATTTAAAAATACTAATAAAATTTATTATTTACTTTGCACATAGAACTTTTGGATCACTACAGCAATAAAAGCTTAATACTGTATTATGGAAAAATTTAAAAATTATAAGGCATTAATTAAAAAATTTTTTTTTATTTTAATTAAGAAACACTAATTACCTCTTCTAAATTTTTACTATATAATACAATATGCTCTACGAGCTTATTAAATGCATCATAGTTATCTTTGATAAAATGTCGTCTCCACATATATTCCAAGAAATAAGTATTATATAATTCTTTAATAGTTCCGTACTATGAAAGAAAAGTCTTTACTAAATGCCAATTTGATTCAATTGTATTAGTATGGACCTCTGTTTTAGGATCCTTAAAATACTTCGAATAATTAACCTTATCATGCTTTCATCTATATTTTTCAAAATCTTCAGTTTGGTAAGCTGCCCAGCAGTCACTATATATCATTGTTCCATTTCCACATACTCTTCCAAAATTTTTAATAATGTTTCTTTTGATCAATATGGTACTGATATTAAAAACATCTTATCTGATTCCCTTTTGACTCCACCAAAGACCCATTGTCCTTTTACTTTCTTACCTTTATTATACTTACATTTTCCAAGCTTACTTTCATCAATTTCGACAATTTTTTCTTCACCTCTGATTTTTTTATTTTGGTTCATTAATGCTATGCAGCAGATGTCATGACAAAAATTGTACTAATCAACTATCGATACAGTACTAACATCAGCTTCTAATACAGCAAATTGTTGAGGCAGTTTATGAGACCAACAAAACATAATTTTGGCGATTTGTGCAAGGAATAGCTTAGATTTTGTTAACCATGTTTCTGTTTTTAAAGTTGTAGTATAACTACAAGCTGTTCTTAAAGTACAGGCCCATTTACAATTATTACCATGGGATTTATCTTTTGACTTGCACATTGGACTTTGACATTTAGACAGATATGTGTTTTAGGAAGAATTTCAAGTTCTTCAAAAAATTTAACAGCATTTTCTATTTCTTAAGTATTAAAATAAATATCATCATAAGTTTTTATTAAAATAGGTGATTTGAGCAATTGCTGAACTGAAGCCAAAAGAATTTCTTCGATGTTTTCTACCATTATTTTATGATAATTTGGCAAGTAATTTAGATAAGCAAAGATGTTATTAGTAGAAGATTCAAGAAAATTAGATCAGAACTTGTCAAGAAGCATAAGCAATTTTGCTATTTTTAATGTTAAATTTTTTTTATTATATTTAAATTTTACAAATTGCTCTTTTTATAAGAAATAGATTGAGCTACAAATATACAATGGGTTTTGAAGATATATTAATGAGGGTCAGAAATATAAATTATATGATTTAGCATGAATAAATAAAATCACACTAAATCGCATAATTTTACATCATTATATCAGTATATTAAAGTTCAAATAAATCAATTTTTAATTATATGTTAAAGTGCGAAACAAATTAATTTTTAGTAGTATGTTAAGCATGAAATAAATTTTAGTAGAATGTTAAAGTGCAAAATAAATATATTTTTAGTTGTTAAAGTATAAAAATTGATATAGTATATTTTACAAATACTACAACCATTCTTATTACATAAATTCTATTTCCTAGTTTGAGATATTAATATAAATATTGTATCACAAAATTAGTATCTTATAGCTTATTTTCCTGGAAGCATAATTGAAACTTAGAGGAAAATATAAATAAATAAATAAATAAATAAAGATGTACATTAATTATGATAATATGATTGTTGCTAGTATATTTTACAAATACCACATGCATTCTTATCACATAAATTCTATTTTTAGGTTTGAGTTAGTAATATAAATATTGCATTACGAAACTAGTATCTTATAGCTTATTTTTTCAGAGTATAATTGTAACTTGGAGGTAAAATATAAATAAATAAATAAAGATGTATGTTAATTATGATAATATGATCATTGTTAGCATATTTTATAAATACCATATGCATTCTTATCATATAAATTCTATTTTCTGAGTTATTCATATAAATATTGCATTGCAAAACTAGTATCTTATAGCTTATTTTTTCAGGTACATAATTGTAACTTAGGGTAAAATATAAATAAATAAATAAATAAAGATGTATGTTAATTATAATAATATGATCGTTATGCTAGCATAAATAACAAGAGATGTAATTTAGAAGTTATAAGATAACGATAATATTTCTAACAGTTTTTTTTTATTACTGCTTGTTCCCATGATAATACTATTTAAAAAAGTTTAGTTAGCAAGTATCCAAGCAACAATACTAAAGATACAAAAAAATAAAAATAAAAAGAATGAGTTACTAGTCATACTTGCAAATTATGCCCAAGTTAGTCATTCTAAAATCTTACTCAAGTACGTATTTAATTGAAAAAAAAAGTAGTCTTTGTCTTGAAAATCACTTTCTAACATTTCCAGTCTAATTTGGACAAAAACAAACCATAGCATCAGTTTGTGTTTATTTGTAAATCACCTTTTACCTTTATTGAACTATTGAATCAATAAAGGTAAAAGATGATTTCTACTATATAAAAAAGAACTGATGCTAGAGTTTGCTTTTGTTTGAATTATGTTGGAAAGTGATTTTAAAGGCATGTGATCATCTGACATTTGTTTACATTTTTGGCCAATCAAAATTGCTATATGATTATATTGAGGGTGATAATTTGTGATAATCACTGAGTTAACTCTTTTTAAATCTTTCCAATATATCTACTAATCTTGTTTCTGATTTATATACTAAAATTCTTATATTTAATAGTTTCAAACTGTATAATTCTTCACATATATCTTCTCTTATTTCTATCCTATCTGGTTTAGTTCCTATCAATCTTATTTCTATTATTCACAATACTTCTATTTCTTACTGTACTGCTACTATTCTTTCTATCAAACTTCTTCTTCAGTTAAACCAACAAATATACAAACAAATATGGATTCTATACTGTATTTTATGTTCTTTACAGTCACAAATTATACTTTTTACTAACTCAACTCATAATTATTCTTCTAGTCTATCTTCATCTTCTATTTCAATATTACAAATTATTACTAAAATTGATCTTTGGACTATTCAATAAAATAAATACAATATTGCAATAACTCTTTTTAACGATCATTTGAACCAAACTTTTCAAAAGGCCAAACTACTGAAAAATGATATAGTTAATATATTAAACTTTATAAAAACTTTTCCAGAGTACTGTACATGTATAGTTGAACATTGAAATAGAGTTGAAAAAGAAGTTGCAGCTTTGTGGTGACAGTTTAAATGCACTTTAGGACTATAAAAGAAGTAGTTGGTGAAAGCCAAAGTCTTTTATAAAGTAAATAAAAAGTTGAATATATTAGTTCTATACAACTGTAAAACCTACAAGGAACATCTATAAAGGTCAAAAACTCACAAAAGCTACAAAATTGGTTCACCTCTTACTTTTATATTGCTTCGAAGAAATTTTGTAAAAATGAGCAATTTAGCTTACCCTCTTCTAAAGATTGATATGTAAAACTACCAAAACTGTCAGCAGTATTTACTTCCTAAATGGGTTTGTTGATGACATAGATCAAAACAAGACAGTAATACAAACACGATTATATACATGCCTCGAAATACTAAAAAACCTGAAAATACTGCCTCTGGACTAACTAGTACTCTATACTAACCCTCTACGATCAAGTCGAAGATTTTTTCGTTCTTATATGGTTTTTTGTTAAATAATCTAAGTAAATAGAAAAATAGTAGAGTTATTTCTATTTAGTATAGTTTATAATTT